TATTGGCTTAGCATGAAATTAAACTAACAATCTAGAGCAAATGAAAGCAAACGATGCAAGCTGGAAACTTTAGGTCAACCGGAGTCTCTATCACTCGAATAGACACGACGAACCAAGCAACATCATAGTAGCCATTTGATCCTAGGTGATTAAGTCGAGCTTTCTACTAATGACTACTCTTTAAACAAAGTCGCAACCTTTAAACAAGACAAGCACAAACCATTCCCTAACACACATCGACAAGTGTTGTAAGTATTTTTCCAGAGTAGAATCGAAAGATTCGACACCGAGTCATGTCTCACGAGGAAGGCTAGCCGGAATACTTTATACGTTTACTCAAACACACAAACAAAAATAAAAGAAATAAAATTCCTAAACATGCTAATTCAGAGATGATTTTGATTTTTAATTAACAACTACTACGAGAATTTAAATAAAACGAAGTAAATAGCATACGAACACGTATAACAAGTAAGATTTACGAAGTTAGGGAGTCGGAGATATCCGTTTCGGTTCGAAATGCAATTATCAAGAAACTGATTGATCGGCTAAATGACTTGAATAGCCTACTCGCTCAGAGACTCATTCTCAATAACTGTTCGTAACAATGGAACAAACATGAACGACAAATTAATGATTGGTTTAACACCTAGGCAATACAGTTACGAACAATCCTAGTTTATACAATTCTAAATCGATCAACATCTCCCCTTTCGTTTCTAAGAGGCGATTAAATAATCCTAGAAGATGGTTAATCAACTAGTCCATATAGAGTCATCAACATCACACGAGAACGAATCAAATTCATTCAAAGATTAATTGGAAATTGAAGTGTCACCCTTCAACAATTCTCAATATTCAAGCATAAATCGAAAACCCTAATTAAGAATGAAGCGCATAAATTGAACAATCGACGAACTCAATAATCACACATGAATCCAAAACATCATCCCCCATTCCCTAGCATAAAGATTTAGCCACTCATAATCGAACAATCAACACAAATAACCATAATCAAAGTGAACATATCCATGGATAAGAAAAATTACAAATAATGGAATTGAATGATGAATTCGATAAACAAGATTAATTCGAAAAAAATAGCAAAATCCGATGTTAAATCCTTGTTCTACGATAAAAAAAGATGGAAGAAAAATGAAAGAACGATTAAGAGAAGAAAAGAAGGGTTTCGGTGTTTTCTGTGCGCGAATAAAAAAATAATCAAAGAAGGTCCTGATATCTTATTTATATAAACAGGTCATCGGGCGAGAGAAACTTCGGCACGGCGTGGCAAAAAAATTAATGCGGCGTGGAAGGGCCTGGCGCAGTGGGGGGGCAGGTTCACGGCGTGGGACCTCTCGCGGGCGTAGCAGAACAGGTCTGGGCGTGGGTGGCACGGCAGGGGGCTTCTTCGCGGCGCGGCAGGAACGAGCAGCAAGGCGTGAAGGTAGGCGCGACGTGGTGCTGGGACCTCCTGGGACTTATGTCCGTGTCGTGGAACCGGCACGGCGCGGTGGGTGTGCAAGGGATTGGCTGGTGCGTCGCAGAGGCTGGCACGCCGCGGCACCTGAAGTCTCGTCGGTTTAGTTGCACAACTTCACGTTTTAGGCTCGTATACGCTCATTTCGACTCGGAATCTGATTCCCTTTTTTTCTGAGCAATGCCCAAGACGTCCTCTATTTGATTACGCTGTCCCGACTAATATTTTCCCGAAATCCTAATCTCCCGAGACTTCCAACCTGCACATCAACGACAACGAAAAACCGAAAAAATGCGACAAACAACTCTCCCACACTAAAGCCTTTGTTTGTCCCGAACAAAAAGAAAAGAAAAGACTCGAAAACAAACAAAAGAGCATGGATAACAGTTTCAGACAAGACAAGTATCAAACTAATCAACTTAGCCGAGGAGAATTCCAATGACCAATATAGTACACCTCAATTACAACTCGAATGCAATGCTTTGAAAAGACAAACTCTCAAGAACGGAAGTATAATATGTATATGCCTCACTCGGTTTCTTTCATGACTATAAACTGGGACGCTCAAATTGGTCGATCATCATGCATCAACATAAGCATGCTTATCTTCTATTCATACTCTAAAGTAACCAATGATCATGAACTATAAATCAAGAGGACTTTCAAGGTTGCATTGTAGGCATCAAAGGGAGGACAAATAAAGGGATAGAGTGGCTCAAATAAACAATCGAACCCTCAAGCATATAAATAACTCGAACACCTTACCTCTTATCTAACACTCAACATGATACTAACCAGGTGCAGACCATAGTTTACATCAGGCTCCCTATAGCCGAAGCATAAGGCGTAACTCTCATCCTTTCTTTTTCAGAGTCATCCTTGGGCGAATCCTTGTTGGACAACTTGAACTGGCTTCCCAATGGTACTCCAACCGGCTTTGCAGTATCCATTTTGAATCTGCACAACACCTTCTCAATATAATCAGATTGAGAAAGCCAAAGTTTACCAGCATTCCTGTCCCTCGTGATTTTCATGCCTAGTATTTATCTCGCTTCTCCTAGATCCTTCATATCAAATTTCCTTGATAGTTGATCCTTGAGCCTCTCGATCTCCTTGACATCTGATCCTGCTATCAGCATGTCATCCACATATAGCAGTAAAATAATGAAAGAGTTATCGAACCTTTTCACATAACAACAATGATCAGCATTACACCTGGAGTATCCAATCTCCAGCATGAAATTATCGAACTTTCGATACCACTGTCGAGGAGCCTGTTTCAGTCCGTACAAGCTCTTCTTTAGGTGGCAGACCTGCTGATCATTTCCTCTATACCCCTCTGGCTGCATCATGTAAATTTCTTCTTCGAGATCCCCATGCAGAAAGGCCGTCTTCACATCTAACTGTTGCAACTCCAAATTTTCCGCCGCTACCATGCTTAACACTAGACGAATAGTGGTTAACTTCACAACAGGTGTAAAAACATCGGTAAAGTCAATATCGTATCTCTGTTGGAATCCCTTCACTACAAGTCTGGCCTTGTATCGCTTCGTCCCATCTGATTCCTCCTTGACCCGATAGACCCATCTGTTTTGAAGAGCCTTCTTTCCTTTTGGGAGATCACACAAATCCCATGTGTGGTTCTTCTTCAACGAGTTCATCTCGTCGTCCATCGCAAGCTCCCACTTGCTCTTGTGGGCATCTTTAACTGCCTCTGCATAACATTCGGGTTCCCCAGAATCAGATAAAAGTAGGTAATAAAGAGAAGGGGAGTACCTATCCGGGGCCCTTCTCATCCTCGGTTCTCGGCCCAGTGCCAGAGGCGTGCTGCTCTCAGCAATCGGTTCATCCGATTCTTGTTCTACCTCTTCTTCTGTACGCTCGATCTCATTCATCTGAGCTCCCACTGAATCTGCTGGTCTCATGATTCTGGTATTTGAAATATCGAGACCAACATACTCCTGCATGGTCTTGTCATCGTCTGGGTATTCCTTCCGGTCTTTGTACATTATGCCTTCATTAAACACCACATTACGACTGCGAATAATTTTCCGATTTTGATCATCCCAAAATCTATACCCAAATTCGTCAGTCCCATATCCTATGAATGTACATTTGATGGACTTAGCATCCAGCTTTGTCCGGTCGTCGTTCAAAACGTAAGCCAAACAACCAAAGGTACATAAGAAAGAGAGATCAACTTCCTTACCACTCCAGACCTCTTCTGGAATTTTGTTGTTCAGTGGGACAGAAGGCCCCCGGTTGATCAAGAAAGCGGCCGTGCTGACTGCTTCTGCCCAAAACATCTTGGGCAGTCCACTCTTCAATCGCATGCATCTCGCACGCTCATTCAGCGTCCTATTCATCCTCTCCGCAATGCCATTTTGCTCCCATCAAAACTCAATACAACACTTGCATATGGTCACACTGAATTTCAAGTACTAGACTTTTTTTTTTCTTTTTTAAGGGAGTATGCTTTTTCCTAACAAGACTGAGACGTAAGGACGACATTCTCTAGGTTTAAACATTGGAGGTCATCCATGTTTCCTAGAGTGGTTTCCCAATACTCATTACTCATGAAAAATTCTACAAGTGAGCGGAGTAGAATCCTTTTAGTCTGTCTTGCGAGTTCCAATTTTTTTATTTTTTATTTATTTTTTTTGTCAAGCACCAAAAATGCAACTCAAGCAAGTTATACCCCTTCTCCAAACACATATTAAAAGCTCCGTCATCATAACAAATGCATTGTCAAATCCTAAAAAATTCAATCAAATCGGTTGACAAGAAATACAGCTTACGGCTCAACGGGTTACTAATGGAAATATAATCTCAATGGTCAATAAAAAAGGCTAAACGAGCAATGTCCAAGAAATGCCTCAATCATCTTCACAAAACACTACTTCATCAATTCTTTTAAAATTAAACTCAAAGCAAGTTCTGATCAACAATGAATTCGACCAATATCTCTCAAAGAAAACAATATAAGGCTCAAACCTCACAAGGCAAATAATGTCCAACAAAACGACACATTAAGTTCATCAAAGTATACTGGTCATGATCATCATCACATCTCCTTAACATCATCAACAATTATCAATAAATCTTAAAATTCATCATAATCCATACTCGCAAAACACACAAACTGACTCAAAAAATGACACTCAGATGAAAACAGAAAATGAAAACATCCTAAAAAACCTAGACATGATAAACTATATAAGCACATAATCATGTAAAAACTCCCCCACACTTAAAAGCGAACAATTTCCCCATTGTCGATCTTTAGTGCAAGGGAAGTTAACCCATATAATCAACCAACAGAAAAACCAAGACAGAAAAGCTAAACTGAAAACAAAAATAAAAAGAACGGAAAAGATACAAACGTACAGGCCAAAGTGACTAGACTAGTCACTGTGAATTCGGTGGTGCAGGTGGAGGGTGGAGGTAGTCAGGCCCCGAACAACAGGCCTCCATCAACTCGAATCTCTCGCACTCGGCTGGGGAGGGGTGGTGTGGTCACCTTTCCCAACATAGGCTCGGTCTTGTAATGACCTCTTGGCGTGCTCTCGCAAACACGCCTCCTCAGTGAGCTGTTGAATCGCCCAAAGGTATGCACACTCTTCTATCAAATTCGCCTGTTACTCAGGCCTGGTCTCTTGAACATAAATGGCAATGGACTCGCCCAAAACTGTCATGCTTGTCGTCCCCTTCCTTACATCGATGACTGTGCTAGTGGTCGCCATGAAGGGTCGCCCAAGGAAGATGGTGTGCTGCTTCCCATTTTCTTGCACCTTTCCCACATTGATCACAACGAAGTCCACGGGGACTATCAGTTTTCCCACTCGGACGAGCACATCCTCCATAATTCCTTCCGGTTGACGGAATGAGCCGTCAACCAGCTGTAAGTGCATTTTGGTGGCTTAAATTCTCCGAGCCTGAGCCTGTGATAAACTGCAAGTGGCATGAGATTTATGCCCACTCCTAGATCCAGAATTCCCAAGGTTACTACCCCATTCCCGAAGGCCATAGTGATCACGAAGCCTCCGGGTTCCTTCTCTTTCTTCGGCAAGTTATGTTGGAACACACTCGCCGCCTCACAGATGATTACCTGCTCACCATTCTCAAACTACTTCTTGCTTGTGGCAACTTCCTTGAAGAATCGTGCATACGCCGATATTTTCTTCAACACATCCGGAGGAGATAAGTCGACACTGGCCTTAGCCAACATCGCATTGAGGTCCCGAATCATCGTGTGGTCTTTCTCCTCCAACAGTCAACTCGGGAAGGGAATTTTCAGTCTTTAGGGGTTCGGAGATCTGTGTAAAATAGGTTCAGGTGGTGATGTCACTGGGGCTTCTTTCATTTGGATGAGCTCTTTCGGGCCCTCTTTTTCTTCTTTCTCCACTTCAGACATTAACACAGTCACCGCATTTGCATGCTCTGGCTGACTTGGCAACTTCCCTTTGTTCATATCAGCCTTGATGCTCCCGACCCGTGTGGCCAGCTAGCCTACTTGTGTCTCAAGACGCTTAATGGAGGCATCATGATTTGTGACAAAATTGAGGATTTTGTCCAACTTGTCGTCCATGCTCGATGGGGTTGATCCGGTTTCTGGTGCTGGTAACCTTAAAATTCCCCCAGTTTGCTATTTCTGGGGAACAAAGTTGGTCTGAGGTGATTGCTGATAGTGGTTGTTGGACCATGAGAAGTGAGGGTGGTTTTGCCACCACGGGTTGTACATGTTCGAGTAGGCGTCATTTCCGGCCCGATTCTGATAACCCTGCACTGCATTTACCTCGGTATTCTGTCCTCCGTAGCTCGGGTCGATAGCTTTCGGGAACACCTCAAATCTGTGGCCCTGCACTCCGCATGCCCCACAAGCATTTACTGCCATTGTCTGAATCGGCGAGGAATTTCGAGCATTCAGTAGCCGCATCTGCTCCGTGAGCTCGGCTAACTGCTGGGCTATGGCATTATTACTCGAACCAACCTCATTCACTGTAGACCTCTTATCTCTGACACTTTTCTGAGACGAGGTAGCACTCATCGTCTCGTAGATCGTAATCATCCCTTCGGTAGTTTTGGCCCCAATATCTCCTCCGGCTGCGCTGTCCACCATGTATTGCAAGTTCTAGTGGAGGGAGTCGTAGAAGCAATTCGCTAGAAGCCCCGGAGCGAGGTTGTGGTGGGGGCACTTCTTCTGGAGGTCCTTGAAACATTCCCAGGCCTCATGAATAGGGTCGTGTGGCAGCTGAGCGAAAGAGACGACTGGGACAGGATTTCTTGGGTCTACTGATACTTCTCGATAAACTTTGAGTAGACCTCGGCCTAAGTTGTTATAGAATCCAGGACGAGGGTCATAAACCAAGCTTTGGCCCGGTTCTTCAACGTCTCCTAGAAACACCACATTCTCAATTGATCCTCGGTCAGACCATGCAGAAGAAATGTCTGGAGGACGTTGTAGAACTCCCGGAGAAAGTGGAGTGGATCTTCATTAGGGAGCCCGTGGAATGAAGGCAACTGGTTGTAGTGAATCATTTTCAACACATAATTTCGGGCGGCTTGAGGCAACTGGATGCAAGAAGTTATTGGCCCGATAATGGGTTGGGCTAGGTTCTGAAGGACATTATGGGGAGGTTGTTGTTGTTCGGCCATGTCTGAATTACTCCCCTCAGACAATTTCGGAGAATGCTTGGCTCATTCGGGTGATTCGAGAGTGAGCTCGTCCAGCAGCTCTCTCAGGCTCTCGTTAACGGATGCTTACACTCAAACAATGGTAAACAAGAGAAGATAAAATAAAACAAAAACACGAAAGACTACACCTAGCCAAAGAAAACGAAGCTAAGAGAAACACAGAAAATCAAATTGAATATGCGTACAAAATAAGTCCTAAATCTTCCCCGACAATGACGCTAATTTGTTGTAAGTATTTTTCCGGAGTAGAATCGAAAGATTCGATACCGGGTCGTGTAGAAGGCTAGCCGGAATACTTTATACGTTTACTCAAACACACAAACAAAAATAAAAGAAATAAAATTCCTAAACATGCTAATTCAGAGATGATTTTGATTTTAATCAACAACTACTACGAGAATTCAAATAAAACAGAGTAAATAGCAAGCGAACACATAGAATAAGTAAGATTTACGAAGATAAGGAGTCGAGGATATCCGTTTCGGTTCGAAATGCAATTATCGGGAAAGTGATTAATCGGCTAAATGACTCGAATAACTTACCGCTAAGAGACTCGTTCTCAATAACTGTTCGTAACAAGAGAATAAACATGAATGACAAATTAATGATTCGTTTAACACCTAGGCAATACAGTTACGAACAAGCCTAGTTTATACGATTCTAAATCGATCAGCACCTCCCATTTTGGTTCTAAGAGCCGATTAAATAATCCTAGAAGATGGTTAATCAACTAGTCCATATAGAGTTATCAACATCACACGAGAACGAATCAAATTCAATCAAAGATTAATTGGAAATTGAAGTGTCACCCTTCAATAATTCTCAACATTCAAGCATAAATCGAAAACCCTAATTAAGAATGAATCGCATAAATTGAACAATCGACGAACTCAATAATCACACATGAATCCAAAACATCATCCCCTATTCCCTAGCATAAAGATTTAGCCACTCATAGTCGAACAATCAACACAAATAACCATAATTAAAGTGAACATATCCATGGATAAGTAAACTTACGAATAATGGAAGTGAATGATGAATTCGATAAACAACATTAATTTGACAAAAATAGCAAATTCGATAAACGAGATTATAGGAAAATCCCACAATTCATTGGGATATATTGGGTTGAATCCAGCATATATTTAAGGATGATTTTGTTTAACCATATTTTACTAAATACAACTCCGTTGTAAATTTGGAAATATAACCAATTTTGAGGGATTCTTTCTGCTTTTTGTTAATAGTAATAACATTCGCTATATCACTAAATATAGTAGATAGAAAAGTCAAACTTAATTAATGAACTTCTAATTTTATCAAGTAGTAATTAATGCATTTATAATTTATGCTGACATAAAAAAATCCTTCTTACAAATCTTAACATAAAAAATTTTCCACGTAAATCCCATAAAAAATTCCTTCTTCTAAATTTATGCTGAACTTCTAATTTTTAATCATTCTAATCTTGACACAAAAAAACCCATAAAATCGGGTGAGAAAAAACAATCAAAATCTATATTTATATAATAAGGTATCCTATTTACCAAATTTCGTAGATTAAAAAGTCAACGCAATTAATGCATTGTTAAAAAGGCTTTATTTATTTGTCTTATTCCATATCAACATCGATTTTGTCAAAACAAATTCCATAAAATCGGTGAAGTCAAAATTTGTACGTAAAGTCTATCTATACTAAAAAAAGACAGATTCCTTATTTAATTCCTTCTTTTCCTTATCTAATTCCTTCTTATTATCTAATTGTATGGAAATCTATTCTGATTTTGTTCAATTCTCTAATTGTATTTATATTACTAGTAAAACACCCGTGTATTACACGGGTGCTTGCTAATTTTTTTTCTTAAAATTTAAAATTAATGAGAAAAAGTAGTTTGAAAATTTAAATACCTTTTATAAGAACATATATATATATATATATATATATTATATATTTATTATGATATTTTTTATTTGTGCGAC